AACCACATCAAGCAGGTATCAAGCAGTACCATTGTTAAAAGGAGGAGGGAGGGGATATCAAGAGCTAAATCTCAACCTTCGCCAACACAGCTAGATCAGTACACAACAGATTAACCTTTGCATTACCACACTTAGGAAGTGAAGTTACCCAATCTAGCCTCCAAAGCAATACAAAAAAAGGGTATTATCGGGGTAAGTCACACTTTAAATAACAACCTTCCAGAATGTAGCATTGATTGTTGCCGCCGAAGGCGGCTAGTTTATTGTGCACCCCATACTCATCCTGTGAGCGGTAGCGCAAAAGCGTTACAGAGGACACAAAAGATCTTTATCAGACCTCATCTTAGATTATTACATAAACAATTTCATCTATCCTTCACATCTTATAGTAGCGTAACCACCAATCCGGGTGTCTCAAAATAAGGTGGACACACTTTTATAAATATATATCGAGAAAGTGACCCATATTAGTGAGGCGTATTATGCTGAAAATGTATATGGTAGACACAATCGACTTGAGAATGGTCCAGGACGGACCGAAACGTCGTCGTCCCTTCACTTTCTAGTGTGTGGTCTGGTCAACATGTATATGGTAGAGCCAATAACTGAACAACCCAAACATACGAAATGAAAATCACTGTTTCGTACCGTTCTGGACCTTCGTGAAGGCATGACGTTAGGTTATTTGTTTCAGCTACGTTATTGTGTCGTTCCCTGCACGTGATGCTACAACTGAAGCCTCGTCTTGATCGATGAGTCGAGTTGAGCAAGTCGTGCCAAAGCAGCTGAGAATGTACCTATGGTACTGTGAACTGTCATAAATGGATGTACTGGTCACTTGAAGATCTAGACATTAAGAGCACATCTGGGCCACAATGCAATTGCTGCAGTCCTTGACGAAACGTTTAACGGTCTAAAGAGAATGGAAGATTGTTGTTGTTAAAGATTCGCTACCTGGAACAACAGTTTTAAGTACCACGGGCTATGGTGAGCCCGTGAGAATGGGAGAGAATAGGGCACTTGGACTCCCATGATGCCTTCTATCTTCTCACAAAGTGCCATATTCTTGAGGATATCTTGAGATGATTTCGGGGCTTTAGTGTCCCCGCGGCCCGGTCCTCGACCAGGCCTCCACCCCCAGGAAGCAGCCCGTGACAGCTGACTAACACCCAGGTACGTATTTTACTGCTAGGTAACAGGGGCATAGGGTGAAAGAAACTCTGCCCATTGTTTCTCGCCGGCCCCCGGGATCGAACCCGGGACCACAGGATCACAAGTCCAGTGTGCTGTCCACTCAGCCGACCGGCTCCCACCCGGTATTGGTGGTGGGTATTAATGTGGACACGGCAGTGAATTTGCCAAGACTTACGGTGTAGCGTGGTGTCCTTAACGGAAAGTAGCTCCACAAATGCAGGATATACCTAAATGTCTTAATAAACCAAAAGTGGGAAAATACCCCCATTTTCCTTGGAGGTGTTAGTAGGGGAAGTGACGCCAAAGAGGGAATTTTTGGTAAGACAAAAAATTCCCTCTATAGCGTCACTTCCTCTACTATTGTTACCGGTGCTGTGTACCTCAACATACCAGAGTCATTCATTGCACCCGCCACTTATGAAGTGCACAATAATATTTATTACCTACATTTAAAGCTTAACATTATGCTAATTACCAATCCCCTTGGAAAGGCCAAAGAGTCCAGTACTCCCAATGTTACCCTGAGTTACAGTAAGAAACCCGGAACATTCTAAGACCTTAGACAATCCTAAGACCATAAGACTTAGTTCAATCCCGGGCGCCGGCGATAAACAATGGGCAGAGTTTCTTTCACCCTATGCCCCTGTTACCTAGCAGTAAAATAGGTACCTGGGTGTTAGTCAGCTGCCATGGGCTGCTTCCTGGGGGTGGTGGCCTGGTGGAGGCCTGGTCGAGGACCGGGCCGCGGGGACACTAAAAAAGCCCCGAAATCATCTCAAGATAACTCAAGATAACTCAAGACAGTGTCCTGCTAGTACAGTCGGATCCGTTCTCGACGCACAATCGAGAATTCTGGGTTCGAATCCCGGGCTGAACAGAAATGGTTGGACACATTTCCTTTCACCTAATGCCTCTGTTCACCTAGCAGTGAGTAGGTACTCAGGAGTTAGTCAGCTTGTTGTGGGGTTCCACCCTGGGTGGGGTCAGTAATTCGGCCTTGGGGAGGGGAGAGGGAACCTCGATAAAAGCCAAAACGTATATGAATACACTCTGGCTTCCTGTCCCCCCGACACAATGAATTATGAATTGATAAAAACCGAGCGGTCTAGTGCAAATATTCCCACAGAAAGTGGGAATTTGTGGGGTGGGAATTTGTTTCAGTGTGAAACAAATACCCCAAAACCCAGACCTGTGATGACATGAAACTGATGACGCTCGGGTCGGTCCCTCCTCAAATCCCAAGACAGCAAGAGAGGGAGAAGGCGTCAATGTAAGACAAGAGGGAAGATGGGGGAGAAAGGTGACAGATAAGCAGAGAAACTTTGTCACACTTGCAGGCGATGAGTCACAATAACGTGGCTGAAGTAGTGTGACCAGACCACACACACTAGAAGGTGAAGGAACGACGACGTTTCGGTCCGTCAATCGACTTGAGAATGGTCCAGGACGGACCGAAACGTCGTCGTCCCTTCACCTGCTAGTGTGTGGTCTGGTCAAACTTTGTCACACTTGTCCATTAACAATGCCAAGACACACTGTTAACGGTGAACAACCTTGAACATCTGTGTATGACCCGTGTGAAACAAACTATCGTTTCCCCTGAATTACATATGTTTTCATTAACAGTTAGCTGTCTTAACATGTGAATATATGTTTGGCGACACCCTGTATATATTCATCCTTTGTCATAAAATGACAACTGTGAAGATATATTCAAACAAGTTATATGCTTTATTTACTCAATTCCTTGACAGACCTGAGAGAGGCACCCACTGATTTTTGGTGAGGTAATTTGAAAGTGAAAAATAAGAAATACTCATCATCATTATTATAATTCATCGCTAATACTGAGGTTAACATGTAATCAATAATAGTGACAGGCCACATCCACCTCTGTTCTTCCACCAACCAACTTCAACCACCAACTTCAATTAAAGTTACGACGCGGAACATGAATTATCGTGCCGGGTATGAGACTAAAAACAGGCGGAGCATAACAGAGACAGACCTCACTTTTCCCACCTTCTAAGTCACCAGCAGACGAGCACCGACACTGCCAAAGTAAATATTGTGAGCGTGAGGCCATAATTCCAGTTAACGGTATACGGTCGTGGTCCCGGGGGTTAGTACGGAGGCCACGATGATCTGTCAGTCTGTGCATCAACACTCCCACGGTTCAAGGGCTGCTGTGCCTGCATTCACAGTTTAAACTTGCAAATGTGTTGATTACATCTCGTTGCATACAGTTTGAGGTGCATCCTAATGCGACTCAAGCTTGTTCGAGTTTGTGTTGATATTTTTTTATATAATTCCTTGCATCCCCTTGCCACTTCGGGGAAGGGGTGTAGGGTTTTTATATAGACTCAGGGCACCCGTTCCCCCCAACCACTAGGCATGGGGAGACGTAGGTACCCCCCTTTAGCACACACATTTACCCTATAATCCCTAATTAAATATCCCCTTGTCATGCCCAATCATCCACTTGTACACCTCTATCGTGTCACCACTAATTCTTCGTCTTTCCTGAGAATGTAAATTTAGCATTGTCAATATTTCTTCGTATGACAGGTGTTTATTTTGCGGGATTAATTTTGTCATCCTACGCTGGACGCGTTCTAGTGAATTTATATCCATTTTATAGTACGGCGACCAAACCTGAATTACATAATCTAAATGGGGCCTAGCAAGAGCAAGATGTAGCTGAATAATAACACCAGGTGATTTATTACTAACGCTTCGAGAAATAAATCCCAGTGTCCTATTTGCCTTACTCAGAACATTTACACATTGATTTTTTGGTTTTAAATTCTTACTGATCATAAATCCCGGATATCTTTTGCAATCCGACTTCGCAATCTCAACACCATCAAGCTCGTATCTTGTAACGCTATCATCATTAACTAGCCTCAAAACCTTACATTTGTCAGCATTAAACTCAATCTGCTAATCTTTTGACCACTTCAAAGACCTATTTAGATCGTCTTGAAGTGATAATGAGTCTTTTTCTGTATTTATTTCCCTCCCGATTTTCGTATCGTCGGCAAATTTGCCAATATTGCTGCCCAAACCTGAACCTCTATCATTTATATATACTATGAATAACAGAGGTCCCAGGACATAGCCTTAAGGCCCACCACTTACAACATTTTCCTACTCTGACTTAACTCCATTTACGCTAACTGTTTCCTTTGGTATTCCCATGCCGTAATCCAACTTAGTATAGCACTCCCCCCCCCCCAATATTGTGAGCCTCTATCGTTTTAATCAATCTTTCATGTGGCACTGTATCAAAAACTGGCAAACACTTGGTCCGCCCTGGGGATTTGTTTCACTTGAGTTTCATTATTTGTTTAATAACATCCTCCCTGGAAACTGCTAGACTAGTCAACCTGTCCTCTTCCCCACCAACATAGTCTTATTCGACTGAAGGCATAATGTTAAGTTCTTAATAAATAGATAAAATATTGATTAAAAATACTATTCATCTCTTCGTCATTATCAGTTAGACCTGTCTCAGTTTTTCATGGACCCTATCATTTCCCCAATCTTTGTTCGGTTCTAGGTTTTAGTGAGAAAGTGTCCATTCTGCAGTAGGCCTAGTGAGGCCTCTAGGGCATGTGGAGGTGGGTTAGTTGTTAGTACCTTGTCTCCAGGGCATGTGGAGGTGGGTTAGTTGTTAGTACCTTGTCTCCAGGGCATGTGGAGGTGGGTTAGTTGTTAGTACCTTGTCTCCAGGGCATGTGGAGGTGGGTTAGTTGTTAGTACCTTGTCTCCAGGGCATGTGGAGGTGGGTTAGTTGTTAGTACCTTGTCTCCAGGGCATGGAGAGCCTGCTGAAGACGGTATAGGAGGCCGGGCTTCTGACCCTGCCGCTGCAGGAAGCTAGTGTTGTGCCTTTTTCCAAGCGAGCTGGTGTTGGTAGCCTTTCGCCTCAATTCCTCCCCGTTTCTACTAGTAAACAGCTTGGGTATTTTAGGAGTCATTCCTATTTTGTTGGCTTTTCCACTGTGTAATTCTTCCCCGCATTCTATTGGGCGTAGTCTGAAGTCTGTGGATCCCATTCTTCGGGGTCCTTATGGAGGTCAAGGAGAAGTGGGGGTGACATGAAGTCGGTATTGCTTGTCTGACCTTTTGGCTATAGTCTCTCCAGCGCTTTGTGAAGGTTCCTGGATGTCTTAGTCTAAGATCGCGTTGGTGATCCTTTCCAGCAGGTTCTCTCTTTCCGGTATGAAAAGTTCTTTAATGTTGAGGAAGGGACGGGATAAGTCAAGGCTTTACCAAGGTCCACTCGTGCTTTAACAACGTGCTCGTTTATTTGCCAAGATACTTCAGCCAATTTATAGACCCAGTGGAAAAGATTGTAACATTCTTTGACTTTAGCAAAGCCTGACTGTGCCTCAGGCTTGACCTTACATCTTCAAGACTGCTGCGGGTCCGTCTCCAAGTAGTCGTCGCCTCCTGGCCAACACCCCAAGACCCGCAAAAACGCTTCTCTGTTCACTTCCCGCTCACTAACGCAACTGTTAGCCAATCGCCCTCCCAGCGTCAAACTGGTCGACAATAATAATGCTTAAATAATAACAATTGCGACTCTCATTACTGGTATTGTCATTATTAGCGTTACCACTTGGCTAATATATATATGCCATGGAGCAAGTTCACTACTGGAGTGTATGAGGTCTTTCTGACACCGTTGATGGTCCTCCCCAGTACCAGGTAGAGTACCCCTCGCCAGTACCAGGTAGAGTACCCCTCGCCAGTACCAGGTAGAGTACCCCTCGCCAGTACCAGGTAGAGTAGAGTGTATCCCTCCAGTGTTCCAGACATGGACTAGTGTACCTGCTACTCCACACTCACACGGGGGCCAGCCAGCCAGCCACTGAGAGGTCGCGTGTTGCAACACGCGTTAACGTCCACATCACTAATGTTGACAAATGCTTTCCGTCTCTCTGTCAGCGAAATAACCAGCGCCTGCTATTAATAACACACACACACACACACACACACACACACACACACACACACACACACACACACACACACACACACACACACACACACACACACACACACACAACGTGTTCCAGCTCTGTATTATTATTACTATTATTCTTCCTTTCACTAACAGACATATTATAACATCCTGCATGTGTTGTGTCGTTTAGAATTACTCCAGTAGACAATAATATATACAAATATCAATGTGCATTGTTTTTTTTTAATTCCTTACGACTTTAATTATACTTAAAAGTAAGATCACGTAAAGTTACTTAATTGAGAGTAATTTACAAAAGCACATAACTATGATAGTACTTGTTTTTCCATAACGTTTTGTATTAACTTACTTAGGCAAATTTGCATTGATGCAGCTACCATAGATTATATGAAGGGTTACATAGTTTTGGCTATGTGACAAAATAGGTAGCTCATATAGTTAAGCAACATCCCCCATCTCGTAGGATAGTTAGTCATACATGGTTATGTGATCAGTATTCGGCATTACTGGTTGTTATGGAACCAATTAACACGTTCTGGCACCGGCGCTTGCACTAGACCAGTGCCACCAATATAACTGAGGCACCCACCCCTCTGTTACGAGCAGTTACAGCCCCGCTCCTGTGCCAGGTAAGTCCACTACGGGCTCACCATAACCCGTGCTACTCTAAAACAACCACAACCCTCTGTTAACAGTTATGGCTGAAAGAGCAACACACTAAACGCGCTCTCCATACACAAATAACGCACAGAAAACAAAATATAAGGAAGGCGTATTAACTCACATGTGTGTCTGAGGCCGAGTCTTGTGTACCGATCCAATGGCCATGGTAAGGTCTGGGAGCCAGGCCAGCGCGGCGTCCATGGCGATCACAAACACAAGCTACACCAGGCTGGCTGACTGGCTACCTTACCTACCCACCCCGACCTCTCACATCCAGCACCTCACACCTACTGCCCTCACCCACCTCGCTCATCTGGATGCTGCATCTCGCCCTGAATCCCACCCTCCTCCCCTCATCACCCCTCCCTCTGCTCACATTCACAACCTTCCCTCGCCAACCTTGTATCTACCTTCAAGTGGTTCCGGGGGGGATCATCGCCCCACGACCTCGCCAACGTGGGTATTAAAACACACACAACTCACAATAATAAATCACAGTTTCAACTTTTTTTGACCATGTCGTAGCTCAGTCGGTTAAGGCAGCGTCTGGGATGATCTCGGACGTAGGTTCGAATCCTCGTCACGGTTCTTATGGATTTGTTCGTGGGTATTAAAGCCCGGCACTTCTAGATTAAATAGTCCTGGTCTACTGCCGATAGGCCTATCGGTGTTAGATTTACAGACGAAAGGTCACGTTATCAAGGCTCGGTTCACATTCTAATTTCTTAATTCTTGTCTTCACTGAGCATAAACTGCATCTCTGAAATCCAGCATCCAGACAGTTATCTCTAATATTGCATCTCTGAAATCCAGCATAGAGACAGTTATCTCTAATATTGCATCTCTGAAATCCAGCATAGAGACAGTTATCTCTAATACTGCATCTCTGAAATCCAGCATCCTGAGTTATCTCCAATAAATGTTCATTCATGTGATACTCAACGTTTCCTGTGAGCACTTATTCCCCCAATCTCGCTGCCTACTTCAGTAACACACTTATGGCGCGTTGGTCAGCAGTAAATTCAGAATGATGCCCCCCCCCCTGTCCAACCACTTGGGCTGGACGGTAGAACGACGGTCTCGCTTCATGCAGGTCGGCGTTCAATCCCCGATCAACCAAGTGGTTGGGCACCCTTCCCACCCCGTCCCATTCCTAATCCTTATCCTGAACCCCTTCCAAGTGTTATATAGTCGTAATGGTTTGGCGCTTTCCCCTGATAAATTCCTTCCTTCCTTCCTCCCCCCCCCCTGGATGTTTTAGAATACACCGAGGAAAGGAAGCCACCTTCGACCATCTCAAATAAAAAAAACTCTGCCTCAGAATTTCCTATTTTTAAAATCTACATTTGACTAAAATACAAAATGCGCAAAAAGTAAACAAATTCTACTATACATTGATGTCCTTGTGATCTGTTCATATAGACCTGGGCTACCTTGAGGTTACCTTGAGGTACTTCCGGGGCTTAGCGTTCCCGCGGCCCGGTCGTCGATCAGGCCTCCTGGTTGCTGGACTGGTCAACCAGGCTGTTGGACGCGGCTGCTCGCAGCCTGACGTACGAATCACAGCCTGGTTGATCAGGTATCCTTTGGAGGTGCTTATCCAGTTCTCTCTTTAACACTGTGAGGTATCTTGAGATCTTATCTTGAGATGATTTCGGGGCTTTTAGTGTCCCCGCGGCCCGGTCCTCGACCAGGCCTCCAACCCCAGGAAGCAGCCCGTGACAGCAGACTAACACCCAGGTACCTATTTACTGCTAAGTAACAGGGGCATAGGGTGAAAGAAACTCTGCCCATTGTTTCTCGCCGGCGCCTGGGATCGAACCCAGGACCACAGGATCACAAGTCCAGCGTGCTGTCCGCTCGGCCGACCGGCTCCCAACCAAAGCTACCTTCAATTTCATCAAAATTTGATGGTCTGTATGCTATTTCTAACATTAACTTTCCATTACACAAAATCCCTTCTACCCAAATTACTTGTTCCTCTTACTCTTAAACTATTGATTAAATGCGGCACTTAAATTCCCCCCTCGCTCAGACCGCAACTCTACCCTCTCTTCTAACTGGCATATCAGTGTGAGTTGAAACTAATTTTCTGACCCTTTCTCGTCTTCGCCATTTAGGGGGTGGAGAGGGGTCCACTAAGCTATCAGGCCCCAATCCACGCTGTCCACTCAGCTATCATGTACTCATCTAGTTGTGCTTGCGGGAGTTGAGCTTTGGCTCTTTGGTCCCGCCTCTAAACTGTCAATCAACTGGTGTACAGATTCCTGAGCCTAGTGGGCTCTATCGTATCTACATTTGGAACTGTGTATGGAGTCAGCCTCCACCACATCACTGCCTTATGCATTCCATCTGTTAACTACTCTGACACTGGAAAAAGTTCTTTCTAACATCCCTGTGGCTCATCCACATTAGAGAGAGGGAGCGTGTTGAAACGTAATGGTCCCTTAATGATAACAGAATGCTCTCAGCATATCTATCGCACCTATTTTCAACAGGGTTACTTTGCACTTCCTGCCATGCCTCCTGGTCTCGTGAGTGTAATTGTCAGCTACGGCATTGTAGCTTACTGTCTGTACATTTCAGCAATCTCCTATTCTCTGCTAGACAGAAAAGTTGGGTACAAACAAAAAATGGTACTAATTTTCTGAAAATCATAGGTTAAGTATATACCTTTACCGGATAAGCTAGGCTAAATTGCACAGCACAGAACTATCTTGTGTACAAATCCACAAGAGCCGTGACAAGGATTCGAACCTGCGTCCGGGAGCATCCCAGACACCGCCTTAATCGACTGAGCTACGACAGGGTAAGAGGTCTTCGGTTTCAACTCTTTTACCCTATCGTAGCTCAGTCGATTAAGGCAGTGTCTGGGATGCTCCCGGACGCAGGTTCGAATCCTCGTCACGGCCCTTGTGGATTTGTTTAATTAAAGAACCATATAATCCGATGATTTAAGTTTACAAGGTGTTGAGAAAATTTTTCAGAGAGCAGGACTGTTTTCGAACGTAAACAAGAGGGGTGCCGCAACAAGGAATACTATTGAACTGTAAATAATTTATTATCGTTAACCCAAAGCAACGGAATTAAAGAGAGCTAAAAAGTCAAGACATATGCAAATATTTTAATAGCAATACAATTGTGAAGCATGGGAATAAATTAGCAGAATAAATTAGATGCCCACTTCTAGTTAAGTGACTTAAGAAGAGATTTTGCTCCGTCGTCACGTTTCTCTTAAGTACAGATAACTTGGACTGGACGGTAGAGCGACGGTCTCGCTTCATGCAGGTCGGCGTTCAATCCCCGACCGTCCACAAGTGGTTGGGCACCATTCCTTCCCTCCCCGTCTCATCCCAAATCCTTATCTTGACCCCTACCAAGTGCTATATTGTCGTAATGGCTTGGCGCTTTTCCCTGACAATTCCCTCCCTCGTGGAGCCTCATCCCTATGAGCCGCAGGGGACAAGTTCCATATGAATTATCCCAATTTGACTGTATACACAATATGCCATCTTATGGCTAGGATAAAGATTGCTTAAAATAATTCCGAGCGGATATACACAGCCTCGCT